GGCGGTCAGGCCTCCGACTGCTGGAGCCGCTGCTGTCCTCAGTGTCTGGGAAGCTGCTGTAGGATGACCCCGACGTTGCCTGACTGTCAGGGCTGGAGCTGCTCGTCTCCTGTGAGGGAGATTCCAGAGACTGCTCCGATGTTGACTGTGGGTTGGTGTGGAGGTTGCTGGTCTCTGGAGCTGAAGATCGAAGGGATGGCACCTGGTTGCTGGTGCTGGGGCTGATGGTGTCCAGTGCTGGAGAACTGGGAGACAGCCCTGACAACACCAGGCTGCCTGTGTTGGGGCTGATGGTCTCGGGTTCTCCGGAGACCTCTGAAAGCTCCAATCCTGACAGTCTGGCCGTGCTTGGGCCAGCAAGCTCCAAATCATCTCTGGAGGCTGGAAGGGGAAGCAGGAATGTCAAGGCCACCCCAGGCTCGGGACAGGATAAGCCAGAGCAGTGTCCCCGGCTGTCCTGGAGCAGACAGGCCCTGCCAAACCCAGCCTGGGCAGCCAGTGCCAGGTGCAGGGCCACCTGGCCCAGGCTCACCAGGGAGCTTTGCCTCTTACCCGTTCCCAGACCAGCACAGCCGTCACATTCCCAGCTGGTTATGCTGTTCCTCAGGCCAGAGCAGTGTCTGTGGGTGCCCTCGGCTGCACAGGAGGAGCACAGGAGCAGTTCCCAGGGCCTGGGGAAGCAAATGACTTTATGGAGCTGAGGACAAAGTATCCAAAGTGTGGGATTATTTGGCTGAGCTCTACTCCTGGGTCCTTCTGCTTCAAGCCCTGCAGAGCCCCAGGATGCAGCTTTGGCAACTTACCCTTCCAATTCTGCCTCTTCTCTGCCTTCTGGAAAAAGGCACTCTCTGGCATCACAGTGCCTGTGCCTGTCTCCTAGCTCGTCAAATTCATTAAAGCCCATCCATGATGGCGGTCTGATGGAAAAAGGAAACCTGATGAGCTGCCTCTGCCCCAGCATCAGGAAGGTGCAGGGTGTCCCTGCTCTTCCCCCTGTGCCATTTCTAGCTCCTGCGTGAAGCTGAACCCAGGATTCACAGAACAGTGCAGGGCCAGGACTGCTGGGGCAGACCCTGCCACAGCACAGCACTTGCACCCCCTGTGTTGTGAGCCAGGCAGAAGGACACCAACCCGAAGGGGATTCGTATCCCCATGGTGGTCAAATCCATGACAAATATGTCTCTATTTCTGCAGAGGGGGCACTGGAGTGATAAAAAACCAGCATGCAGAGCCTGTCCCTGCAGGAGAAACAGGAGCAGAGTGAGGCCCTGGTGCTGCTGAGACCCTGCTGACCCCCCCGCCGTTGAGGGAACCACTCCTACTTGAATACAATCCCTGTGGAACCAGGCGTTTTTGCACGCTGGGCACACCATGGTGTTGAAGGTCTTTCTGTCCTCCACGGGCTCCATGCAGATGAGGCAATTGGTGCCCGGCTCCGGAGTGGCCTCCACTTCCTGCTGGGGGCTGTGTGTGGGACAGAAGGACCTGGGAGGAAAAGGGGTGGGTGAGGAGAGAAGTGCTGGCCCTTCCCTGGTTGGGGCCAGCAGGGGACTGGAGGTACCTGTATGGTCTGCTGAACTGGGTGACACATCCTCCCTGCTTGGCGCAGGGCAGGTGGAAGCTCAGGTCACAGTCGGTTTCACAGCAGGTGATGGTGGCCCCACTCTGGCCACAGATGAAGCAGCTCTGGAAAGAGCAGAGCAGCCCCATCAGCAGCAGCCTCAGGGCCTCATCCTTGTCCCAGAGCTGCTGGCAAATGCTAGGCTTTCTTGCTTGGGGTCTGGGCTAAGCTCCAGCAAACCTCGCCTGGCAGTGAACTCTTCCTTCTCATGTCAGACTCTCACCTTCTGTGCTGCTCGAGAGACTACATCTAGGATATCCCGTGGGAGAAAAGCCCTGTGTCCTACTCGATCAACTGGGTGGTGAGGAAGGTTGCTGGCAAAAAACTGCAGGAAAAATGCCATGCGCTGATGAGGAGAGAGTGGCAGGGACTGCCTGTCAATATATGGAAAGAGCACACAAAGCAACTCACCAGACAGAACTCGTGGGCACAGACTCCATTTGTATGAACTTTTTCTCCATACATGTCCGGGTCAGCCTCTGGTCGTCCACACAGCAGGCACGCTGGAGGGGAGAGACAATGGCCCCAGACATGGCACCTCTGCTGCCCACTCCGACAGCTCCTCTGCCAGGCTGCTGGAGGGGCACTTTGCTCTCACCTGGCTCCCTCACTTCGGGGGTCTCCTCCTCCTGGTCTGACATGGTGACTGTCAGTACGAAGTCCCTCTCCTTGGAACACCCAGGTCTCCTCCAGCTGCTCCTGCACTGGCTCTGCAAAAGAAGGGAGAAGTGGCTCCAACAGAAAGGCAATAGGGAGGCCC